AGTCACTCGTATGTGGGGCTGCCCTTAAAAAGTGTTTGGAGGTTTCCAACCGGTGCAGAATGCTGCAAGCCAGGATGTTGACTGGAATGGGCAGAGACCATATCATGCCAGTCCTGGTCCATCTATACCGGCTCCCAGTATGGTGTAGTGGTTAGGAGCGCAGACTCTAATGTAGGAGAACCAGGTTTGATTCCCCACTCCTCCTCCACTTGCAGCTGCTGGTGTGACCTTGGGTCAGTCACCGTTCTCTCAGAGCTGTTCTCTCAAGGGCAGTCCTCAGGACAGCTCTCTCAGCCCCACCTGCCTCACAGGGTGTCTGCTGTAGGGAGGGGAAGGGAAAGGGGACTGTAAGCCGCTCTGAGACTCCTTCGGGTCGTGAAGGGCAGAGGGTATGCATCCAATCTCCTCTTCATCTTCAGCCCCCCCCAAGACCCCATTGCCCCAACCATACAGATGTTCAAGAGGCAACCCCAGCCTGTCTGACTTGTCGAGATGACCTGGGACGTGCTCAAGTCTGTTCTTGGCTCTGCTTCTACTGGTTGTTGGAGCAGGACGTGTTGACCTTGCGGCTGTTTGCTTCCAGGCGCTGCCTGCCAGAGCAAACCCGGTTCTGCCCCAGGAAACACAACATTCCCCACCATAGGCCAGTGCTGCAAATGAAGCCACGCTGACGGACGCTGCTCCCCTCATCTGGGAAGGAGCCCCCACAGAGCAGCCAAGCCCCCTCCCACAATAAGCCAGTAATAGCCCCTTCTCTGGCTACGGCCCTTCCAGCCCGCTCTGCTCTCACAAGAGACCATCTTTGCCTCCCTGAGGAGCAGAAACTTGGTTTGATTTTTCAGAACTCAGCTGAAACGTGCCGGAGATCAGATTTGTCACTTGAGTGCTGTGGTCAGGCCGTGGCCAAATGCCTGCAGTCTGGGGGGGCAGGGGAGGCGGGAGAGACCCCCAACGCCCCCTTGCCTGTTTCCTGGGTCCACAGAGTCCTGGCTTGCCAGCTCACACAACCCACCCAGGGCTGCCAAATTCCTAGAGATCTGGGGGTGGGGCCTAAGGCGGGGCAGGGTTTTGGGAGGGGCCTCGGCAGGGTCCGATGCCACGGAGTCCACCCTCCCGAGCAGCCATTTTCTCCACGGGTGAGTGGGTGGGGCGGGGGAGCGGATCTCTGTCGCCGGGAGATCTCCTGCCCGCACCTGGAGGTTGGCATCCCTGCCGCCGCCCTCCTGGCTCCCTCGCCCAGCTGCAGGCGGAGCGCCCCTGGCCCGAGCCCTTCCTTTCTGTCCCCACTGTCCGCCTTGCCCCCCGGTCCGGGGTGGGGCGCTCTGCACGTGCCCAGAGGACCCCCCACTCCTCTTCTGCAGGCCTGCACCCCCAGAGCTGAGGCGTGGCGGCAGGGCCCCCATTGCACACTCAATTCCCACCCCCCTCCCCAAATACACCAGGGGCCCTTTGTCTCCCCCTGCAGAATGACAAGCATGGACCCCCCCTCCTCTCTTGTGCCCCCCCCATAAGGGTGCAACCAGCGCGGGGAGGGCTCTTTTGGCCCCTCCTCCTGCCCCCTTCCAGCTGGAGCTCCTCCCCCGCCCTGTTGGCAAGGGGCCGCACCCTCCTCCTCCTCCTCTCCCACCCTCCCCGGGCAGGGCAGGGTTAACCCCTCTCACCTGGGCAGGAGTCCACTCAGCCATGGCCAGTGCCCGCTAGGCGCAGCTACTGGGCATGCGCGCCTTGGAGCTCCTCCCCCGCCCTGTTGGCAAGGGGCCGCACCCTCCTCCTCCTCCTCTCCCACCCTCCCCGGGCAGGGCAGGGTTAACCCCTCTCACCTGGGCAGGAGTCCACTCAGCCATGGCCGGTGCCCGCTAGGCGCAGCTACTGGGCATGCGCGCCGGGAGCCGCTCCGGCCCAGGCCACAA